CACGCCCCGACAGGCCACGCCCCCGGCACACTGCCTACCCTTTTTTTTTTTTTTTTAAACGTAAAGCAGGAGCAGTTTTTTCTTCTTTTTTCGGTACTGGGGATCGAACCCACGACGTTGCCCTTGCTGGGCAAATGCTTTGTCACTGAGATACATCCCAACCTCCTTATTTCTTTAAAAACAACTTAAAACCAATGCAAAGCAGGCAGGAAACAGCCTGAGGGACTCCACGCTCAGAGGCGGCGCCCAGCGGCAGGGGGCGGAGTCAGGGCGCTCGAGGCCACGCCCCCAAGAGCAGGGGAGAGACGCACACGCACACGCACACGCGCGCGACCCTTCTCAGGCTAAGTGGTACAAGCATCCGTTCTTTAAAATATTCTTTTAAAAATGGAATGCTATAAAACTCGCACTTAGCACCATGATCCATTGCGGGAACTCTGTTCTGAGCCTGCGCCGTCGTGGCGGCGGCGGCCCAGGGGGCGGAGCCAGCGCGCTCTTGGCCACGCCCCTCCGAGCACCGCCCTTTGTTTTCTTACAAACTCGCTACTTTGTTGCCAGAGCCTCGGTCCAAGCCCAGCCCGCGACCGGCCACCGCCCCGCCCACCTGACCCGCGCGGGCCAATGGACGCGCGTCACTGGGGAAGTTTCAAGAGTCCGCGCAGGCGCTGCGGCTCCTGATTGGTTAGAGCGTGGTGACTCGTCACCCGCGGACTCTGGCGGGGTTTTTTTCAGTTTTCAAACTCACCGGGCGGGCAGGCGGGCGGGAAAGAGAGGAGGCTTAACTGACTCGGGGAAAAAGGTCAGAGACGGGGTAGAGCGGGCTGCTCCCTGACCCGGCGCGCCCGGGGAGGACGGCAGGCAGGGGTGGATCTTCCGGGCTGGGGTTCTACGCTTCTTTCGCTCCCCCTCCTCAAAAAAAACCCCGAAAAACTTAGGCTGAGAGCCTGGGACGTGCTGGAAGCTTTATTCCATACTTGTTCTTTTGCTGTGCTCAAGAGCAGCGGCATAATTCAGGCGCTAAGCAGCACAAAATAATAAAACAAGCCTAAAATGAGAAGAGAATCAAAATAACCAAAAAGGCCCGAGGGCCGCCACGCGCTGAGCCACCCAGATCCAGATTTTCCCTGGGCCCCACGGATGGCCGCTGGGCGATGCAAAGGCCCTGTGGTGGGTGTGGGCGAAGGTGAGGGAATGGGAGCAAAGGCTGGGAAGGGAGGTCTTGGTGGGGTGAAGTTATGGCAGATCAAAGTCCAGTGGGCTCAGGCGACTTTTGACTGTGATCCAGAGAACCACCTGGCGCGCGCCCAGAGCCGCAGATACACATTTTAGGAGTTCAGTCTCCCCCTGGCGGCCAGGGACAGAACAGACTGATGGGGCCGAGAAGGCTGGAGACGGATGTGTGAGGGGAAATGATGTCACTGCCCGTCCCCCCCCCCCGCCCCAATCTCCTGAATTCGTGGTGATGGAGCCTGAAAAAGACACGTAGTATATGCTCCCTTCTCTTTAGCCCTTTGGGGATGTCCCTGCCACCCCCCCCCAAGTCGCCAGCCAAGAAACACACGGGCAGCAGCTGGATTTCTTTTAATGACACTCTAAAAATGCAAGAGGGGGACCCCAGCAGTCCCCCCTAAGGCAGGTCACTGCAAGAAGGCACCCAGGAGAAGGCTGGAAGCCCCTCCGCTATTTCTTCATATAACATTTAGGGTAAGGAAACCAGATCGTCCCTCCCCGCCCATGGGTACAGGAAGAGGGGGGTCAGGCGGGAGCTGAAAGTTGAGTACCCCTCAAAAAGAGCACAGGGACACAGACACACACAGCACTCCCCCTCCCCAACTCTCCCTACCCCCTCCGAAATCTGCAGCCAGGCTCTGAGAGAGAAAGGCCTGAGAGTCGCCCCTTCCTCTCCTTCTAGCTTGTTCGAAGTTGATAATCTGCAGGGGAGAAAAATGAGGGACCATCAAAGAATGAAGGGACAAGGTGGGGTAGAAAGGCCCCCAAATACTAAAATAGGGAGACTAGGGGAGGATGGCCTCCACCACAAAGGCCTTTAGTCAGTGCTGGTGGCTGACACTTGTAATCCTAGCTCCTTAGGAGGCTGAGAACAGAGGATCATGGGTGGAAGCCAGCTGGGGTAGAGAAGTCTGAGAGACAGGCTGGGAAGGTGGCTCAGTGGTAGAGTGCTGCCCTAGCATGCAGGAAGCCCTGGGTTCAATTCCTCAGTTCCACACACACAGAAAAAGCCAGAAATGGAGCTGTGGCTCAAGTGGTAGAGTGCTAGCCTTGAGCAAAAGCTCAGGGACAATGCCCAGGCCCTCAGTTCAAGCCCCGGGACTGGCAAAAAAGGGAGAAAAGTCTGTGAGATTCTTATCTCCCATTAACAACCAAAATGCTATAAGCAGAGGTGTGGTTCAGGTAGTAGAGAACCAGCCCTGAGGCTCTTCCCTCCCCCCCAAAAAAAAAGCAAGAGCTTGTCACATGATAGGGACAGAAAGGAGGCCCGAAATTCAGGCCCCAGTACTGGCACACCGACGCACTGATGCATGCACACACATGCACTGGATGTTGAGCCCTTAACATGTGAGGCCATGTGGCTCTCTGAGCTAAAGCACCCCAGGTGGAGGATGCTGCATGTGCAAAGGTCCTGTGGCAGTCGTGATATCCTGGAAAATATTTAACAGAGCTCAAGGTGGTGTAATCATGGCTCAAGCTGATTTTGCAAGCAGCAGATGGCATGCTAAGAGCTCAGTCTCTTGCCCCAAACCGACATCCATCTTAGAAATAGTCACTGACCCCATTTTCAAGGCTGGGGCGGGGGGGGGGAGGGGACAGGTATGGGTTACTAGCCCCGAGTCCCTTCTAGCGCATGAAAGGTCGCCTTACCACCGCTCTGGGTGATGTAGCGGACCCAAGGCAGGGCCTGGTAGCCACTTTTCTCGATGATTTTCATGTAGCGGACCTGGAAGGGAAAGGGAAGTAGGGGACACCGGATTGGTGGGTGGGAGAGTAGGAGGCAGTAAGAGGTGAACCCAGAAATCCATGTGGCATAAGTTAGGGAACTCTGATGCCGGGGGTTGTGAATGAGGTCACGTGACAGGGAGAGAAAGGGAGTGGTCCAGACCTGGAAGGAAAAAAGAGGCAACAGACTATGGGAGGAAAGACAAAGAGTTTGGGGCCAGGTACCGTGGCTCACGCCTGTCATCTCAGTTTCTCAGGAGGCTGAGATCTGAGGATCGCAGTTCAAAGCCAGCCCGGGCAGGAAAGACCATGAGACTCTTCTCTCCAATGAACCACCAGAAAACCGGAAGTGGTGCTGGGCCTCAAAGCACCAGCCTTGAGTGAAAAAGCTCAGTAACAAGTGCTCAGGCCAAGAGTTCAAGTCCCAGGACGGGCACCAAAAAAAAAATCAAAACAATTAAGAGTGACAGACAGACCCAGTTTGGGGACAGGTGGCATGGGCCAACGGAGCAGCACACATTCTTCAGGTAGGGGGGAGATGACCTGGGTAGTGGAGGGCTGGTGTGGAGGGGGCCCAGGCCAGGGGGAGAGGAAGAGGGGATCCAGGCTGGCAGGACAAAGGGTCTCAGTGCCCAGGGAGTGGCCAGGGCAAGACTATTTAGGGACATGAGGTCACAAGCCAGGGAAGCCAGGTGACTTGAGCTAAGAGCAGGAGACAGAGAAGCCATGGCCCGGGGAAAGCTCTTCCCGCCCCTCTCACCTGGATGCCAGAGACGGTGAAGTAGGGAATCTCAAACTTGACCCCGATGGGGGGCCGGCCCTCCACCTCCTCCTTTTCCACACTGGGGAGACCAAAGTGGGCCCGCATCAGGTACTCCTTGCCGCCCTGTGGGTGCGGGGGAGGGGGGCATCAGGACTCGTGGCAGGGGCCCTGCCCTTCCCCAGACCATCCTCACAGAGCAGGCTCTGTCCTCAGGCCATCTCATAGATGTGAAAAATCAAGGCTGCCCAGTGTGGTAGCTCCTGCCTGTAATCCCAGCAACTCAGGAAGCAGAGAACGGGAGGATTGAAGTTCCAAGGCTAGCCCCAGCAAAAAATGTTCTAGAGACATCTCCTTCCCCATCTCAGCCCTTCAGTGGTGGGTACTGGTCATCCCTGCCATGATCATGATGGCTCACACCTGTGATCCCAGCCACTCAGGAGGTTTGAGAGCTGAGGATCACGGTTCGAAGCCAGCTGGGGCAGGAAAGTCCCTGAGACTCTACATGGAGGTGTGGTTCAAGGGGTAGAGTGCCACAAAAACTCAGGGACAGGGCCCAGGTCCTGAATTCAAGTCCCCACAACTGCCTCCCATACACACACTAAAAAGGCCCAAAGGTCACAAAGCCTCAGTGTCCCCCTGGGGGACACACTAGCCTGACTTCCCCTCCCCTTCCACGCGCATGCGCACGCTGGCGGGTAGCCTGCACACGGCAGCTGGCAGGCGGCCCTTTCCCCCCACTGCACATGCGCAGGCTGGCGAGGTGGCCTCCATGCGCATGCGCACTGCAGCTGGAAGGCGGCCTTCCCCGCCCCCCCGCTGCGCATGCGCACGCCGGCTCCATGGCCTCCCCATTCAGATCCCCCCCCATGCCACCACTCACTCACCGGGAAGGACTTGATGCTCCAGATGACCACGTTCTTCTCGGGCACGTACTTGGCGCTGCCCACGCTGGTCTTGAAGCGCGGGGAGTCGGCGTCGCTGGGCACGGGCACCGCGATCTCCACGCCGTTGGCCACCGACTGCTTCTTGAACTGCCCCTTGGCCTGCGGAGAGGGCGCGGGTCAACTCCTCTGGCCCTGTCCTCTGTGGGGTGCTGGGGATGAGCCCAGCTGCACCCCAGCCTCCCCTCACACGGCCTTGCGTGTGTGTGCATGTGTGTGCGTGTGTGTGCGTGTCTGTGTGCGTGTGTGTGCATGTGTATGTGCATGTATGTGTGCATGTGTGGGTTCTGGGTCTTGAACTCAGGGCCTAGGCGCTGCCCCTGAGCTTTCTTTGCTCGAGGCTAGAGCTCTACCACAGCGCCACTTCTGGTTTTCTGCTGGTTCATTGGAGATGAGTCTCACAGATTTTCCTGCCCAGGCTGGTTTTGAACTTTGATCCTCAGATCTCAGCCTCCTAAGTAGCTAGGAGGACAGGCGTGAGCCACCAGCACCTAGTGACCGGAGCTTTTTGCTGAAGGCTGGCACTCTACTACTTGAGCAACGGCTCAGGAAGTGGTTCTTAAACTACTTCTGACTTTTTCTTGGTGGTTCATTGGAGATGAGTCTCACAGACTTTGCTGCCCAGGCTGGACTTCCAACTGTGATCCTCAGATCTCAGTCTCCTGAGTAGCTAGGATTACAGGTATGAGCCACTAGCACTCAGCTTCATTAGTTTGGTTTTTATTTTTATCTTTTTTTGTCTCATCCTGGAGCTGGAACTCAGGGCCTGGGCGCTGTCCCTGAGCCTCTTTGTGCCCAAGGCTAGTGCTCTAACACTTGAGTCACAGTACCACTTCTGGCTTTTTTCTGAGTGGTTTATCGAAGATAAGAGTACCACGTGCCAGGCACCGGTGGCTCACGCCTATAATTCTAGCTGCTCAGGAGGCTGAGATCTGAGAATGTTCGTTCCAAGACAGTCTGGGAAGGAAAGACCTTGAGACTCCTATCTCCAATAAACCACTAGAAAACCGGAAGTGGTGCTGTAGCTCAAGTGGTAGAGCGCTTGCCTTGAGTTGAAGAGCTGAGAGACAGAGCCCGGGCCCACAGTTCAAGCCCCACAACCACCACCACCACCAACAACAACAACAAAAAGAGTCTCACAGATGTTCCTGCCCAGGCTGGGCTTGGAACCTTGATCCTCAGATCTCAGCCTCCTGAGTAGTTGGGATTATAGGCATGAGCCACTGGCCCCCAGCTTGATGAGTTAGTAATAACCATCTCTTTCTTACCTTGACCATGATTTCCACTCGGCTATGAGAAAACTTTTCAATGACAGATTCAATCCAGATCAGAGGTTTGACCTGCAGATAGGAGGAGAGAGGGGTTCTCGTTCTGTCAGATCTGATGCCATCTCCCCTCCCCCTCCCGTTTCCCCATGTCTCACCTGTGTGCTGAGGCGGTAGGACATGAGTTCAAAGTCACCGTCGGGTGGGATGAAGGAGATGGTGCGGTCATTGTCAAAGCGAGACAGCCGGACACACTGGTGGAACTTGACATCTTCCAGCTCCACAGACTTATTCTTGCTGCCTGAAACTCGGAGGCCAGCACGCAGAGTGACCCTGGGCACTGGGCCAGGGCCTCTCACACCTGCTTTTCCCCAGCCCCGGCCCCCCATCAGTCCATAGGACAGATGATGAGACCCCCGAGAGTTTGGGGCTCCCGCTGGCAATCTTTTCAGTATGTTGTCAATGTGTCTCTTCCCACTAGAATGTTGAGGGTGCCTGGTAGGGTGGGACATGCCTGTAATCCCAGCACTTGGGTGTAGAAACAGGAGGATCAGAAGTTTGACAAAAACAGAGACCAGAGCCGGGCGCTGGTGCACACGCCTGTAATCCGAGCTTCTCAGGAGGCTGGAGACAGAGGTTCTTTTTTTTTTTTTTTTGGTCTGTCATGGGGTTTGTTTTTTTTTTTTTGTCGGTCATGGGGCTTGAACTCTGGGCCTGAGTGCTGTCCCTCAGCTCCTCAGCTCAAGGCAAGCGCTCTACCACTTGAGCCACAGCGCCACTTCCGGGTTTTTCATGGTTCATTGGAGATAGGCGTCTCCTAGACTTTCCTGCCCTGCTGGCTTTGAGCTGTGATCCTCAGATCTCAGCCTTCTGAGTACCTGGGATGACAGGCGTGAGCCACCACACCCTCCCCCACCCACCCCCATGAGAAAGAGGTTCTTAAAACCAAAGCAGAACCTAGAACACACCAGATGCTCAATAATAAACTGACACACTGCAGTACCAGCCTTGACCGGCAGGTGGGGCTTTTGCACTTGTCAGAACAGGTTGCAATCTTTTTTTTTGGTGCGGGTTCTGAGGCTTGAACCCAGGGCCCAGGCTCTGTCCCTGAGCGTTTTTGCTCAAGGCTGGCACTCTTCTTCTTGAACTACACCTCCGATGTCCACATGGTGATGATTCATTGGACATAAGAGTCTCCCAGACTTTCCCGCCCAGGCTGGCTTTGAACCATGCTCCTGGATCTCAGCCTCCTGAGTAGCTGGGATGACAGGCGGGAGCCACCACCATCTGGCGGCACTTTCTTGTGTGTGTGTTCAGGAGGGGGCGGGGAGGAGAAGGGACGTGTCCCCACACACCAGCAGAACTCTCTGGCTCCCTTGTGTACCCCCCCCAGGAGGTCCCCTAAATCTTACGGCCAGTGAGCTCAAAGAGCACGCGGTCATTGAGACCCAGCCGCAGCTCGGGCATTCCAGACAGAAACACCTTCAGCTTGATGGTCCCCACAATCTCGCTCAGCAGGACGCTGCCGTTGGCATTGACCTGTGGGTGGACACGGGAGGGGCAGGGTCACATGACCTCCCCTCCCCCCCACACACACACCACAGGCCACACGGAGGGGGAAGGGCGCTCACCAGCAGGTTGACAGACTCAATGACATCGATGAAGACCTCGTTCTTCTTGTACTTGATGCCTTCCGAGCGCCAGGACACGGCGTTCGTGACTGTGGGAGGCACTCGGGACTTGCCCGTCTCCAGCTTGTTGCTCTGCTGGGTGATATACCTGGCCAGACAGCACTGGAGACTGAGTGTCTAGACTCAGGTGATGTGGGTGGGTAGGCCGGTGGGAGGGCCACTCCCATTGGGGGGAAGGGGGGTCTCCCTCCATTTCCACTCAACTCACTCCTGCAGGATCTTGCTGTCCGTGGTCTGGGGGTACCCGAAGTCCATGAGCTCATCCAGCAGCTCGTAGACGATCACGAAGTTGTCCCGAATGCTCTCCTCTTCCAGCTCCTTGAAATACTCGCAGAAGACCTGGGGGTCCCCCAGAAACAGCGCTCATGGCTGCCGTCCCTGCTCGGCCTTCCACGCACCAAGCAAGCAGGAGGACGGCAGTGATGGAGTAAGCAAACCCACAGGGAATGTCTGTCCTCACCAGCTAATGAAAATGGCCTGGGTGCTGTGCTGGTGGCTCACGCCTATAATCCCAGCTACTCAGGAGGTTGAGATCTGAGGATCATGGTTCAAAGCCAGCCCAGCCAGGAAAATCTAAGAGACTTTTTTTTTTTTTCACTCCTGTGGCTTGAACTCTGGGCCTGGCCGCTGTCCCTCAGCTCTTCAGCTCAAGGCGAGCGCTCTACCACTTGAGCCACAGCACCACTTCCCGTTTTCTGGTGGTTCATCGGAGATAAGAGTCTCATGGACTTTCCTGCCCAGGCTGGTTTTCAATGAGATCCTTAGATCTCAGTCTCCTGAGTAGCTAGGATCACAGGTGTGAGCCACCAGCACCCAGCTAAGTCTGTGAGACTCTTTGTTTTTTTTTTTTTGGGGGGGGCGGTCCGGTCATGGGGCCTGAACTGTGGACCTGGGCGCTGTTCCTCAGCTCTTCAGCTCAAGGCTAGCACTCTACCACTTGAGCCACAGTGCCATTTCCGGCTTTTTTTCCTGCTTATGTGGTGCTGAGGAATCAAACCCAAGGCCTCAAGCATGCAAGGCAAGCACTCTACCACTGAGCCACCTTCCCAGACCAGTCTATGAGACTCTTATCTCCATTGACCCACCAGAAGACTAGAAGTGGTGCCGTGGCTCAAAGTGGTACACAATGCTAGTCTTGAGCAAAAAGAGCTCAGGGACAGCACCCAGACCCGAAGTTTAAGCCCAACTGACAAAATTAAATTAAAAAAAAGGGAAGTCTCCAATATGGAGCCAAAGTGATCCAACAAGCTGAGGAAAGAAAGAAAACACAACCAGCACAGGGGTACAGGCGCAGGGAGCTGGGATGATCAGTGGAAGTTGGAATTAAAGCCTTTAGAATGGTGTGATGGTGCACACCTGTAATCCCAGCTAACAAGAGGTAAAGGTAGGAAGATCAAGAGTTCTAGGCCAGGGCTGGGAAGGTGGTTCAGTGGTAGAGCGTTTGCATGCCTGAGGTCCTGGGTTCGATTCCTCAGCACCACATAAGCAAAAAGAAAAAAGCCGGAAGTGGTGCTGTGGCTCAAGTGGTAGAGCGCTAGCCTTGAGCTGAAGAGCTGAGGGACAACGCCCAGGCCCAGAGTTCAGGCCCCACGACCGGACCCAAAAAAATATAAAAATAAATAAAATAAAAAACTGGTGAGGAGCTGGGAAGGTAGCTCAGTGGTAGAGCGCTTGCCTTGCATGCCTGAGGCCCTGGGTTCGATTCCTCAGCACCATATAAGCAAAAAGAAAAAAGCCGGAAGTGGTGCTGTGGCTCAAGTGGTAGAGCGCTAGCCTTGAGCTGAAGAGCTGAGGGACAGTGACCAGGCCCAGAGTTCAGGCCTCACGACCGGACCCAAAAAAAAAAAAAACTGGTGAATTGGAGATAAGAGCCTCATGGACTTTCCTGTCTGGGCTGGCTTCAAACCTGGATCCTCAGCTCTCAGCCTCCTCAGAAAGGAGGCTGACAGCTGTGAGCCACTGGCACCTGACTGTAGGAATGATCAAAACCAGTTTCTCCAGTTTCTCAACAGAAAGAGGAGCAGTGATTTCTTTGTTTTTCTTGCTGGGCATGGGGGCTGACCTCTGGGCCTGGGCACTGTCCCTCAGCTCTTCCTCTCAAGGCCGGCGCTCTACCCCTTAAACCACAACGCCACTTCTGGCTTAGTCTGCTTATGTGGTGCTGAGGAATGGAACCCAGGGCCTCATGCATGCAAGGCAAGCGCTCTACCACTGAGCCACCTTCCCAGTCCTGAGCAGTGATTTCTCAGAGGTCACGCAGCCAAGACGGGGAGCTGCAGTGTTGGATTCCAAGTCCTCTTGGCTCAGGTTGGTGCTCACACGCTGTTTCAGGGATCCCCTGGGGCTCTTGCCCAAAGGGAAAAATGACCTTTAAAGCAGCAGAGGAGAGAGGAGAAATGAAGATTCCCAGACACATGCTCAGGGTGGACAGCTTGGGAGAGAGGGCTTCTGAAAGAGGTGGGCACAACAGGTAGACAGACAGGGCAGCCGACCAATGAGAAGCCAGGACTTACCTCCACAGTCTTGTAGAGGAAGGAGTAGACCAAGGAGGCATTGGCGTTCTTCAGCGTGGTGGCCACCACTGGGGGTGGGGGGAGCAGGAGGTGAAGGAAAAGTGGGGTTTCCCCTGGAAGGCACACTGCAGGCCTCCATTCTGAGCACCAGTGGCTCACGCCTGCAATTCCAGTTACTCAAAAGGCTGAGATCTGAGGATCACAGTTCAAAGCCACCCCAGGCAGGAAAGTCTGTGAGACGCTTATCTCCAATGAACCAGCAAAAAGCTGCAAGTGGAGCTGTGGCGTAAATGGTAGAGCACCAACCTTGAGCACCTCCAAGTCTCAGGGACAGTGCACAGGTCCTGAGTCCCAACCCCAGGACTGGCACCCACAAACAAAACAGAACCCTGAGCCTCTGCTTTGTCCCCTACCACCTTCCCCATCTTTACCCACAATCCCCTCCATGCACACACCCTGAGGCACAGCCCAGGTGCTGTGCAAATTTTGTCCTTAGCCCACCCTCTCTGGTCCCTATGCCTCCAAGATCGCCCTCCCCAGACTCCAGACCCCTTGGGCTGGATACAGTAGAGGTTGCTGTGTTTGATCCACAGGAAGTGCACGCGGCCGTGGCTGAGCAGCGGGGTGAGGGCGCCCTCCTCCTCTCTCTGCATGAGCAGTGGCATGAAGCGCTCGATCTCACTCATAGGGACATCTCCTTTGTAGTTCCTGCTGATCAGCGGCTGCGAGGCGGGCAGAGAGGAGGGGGAGCCCACTCAGCGCCCTGGGAACTCTGAGGATCTAGCTGAGCAGCTTGGACAAAAGCTCTAGCACGGCCTGCCTCAGTTTCCCCACCGGAGCATAAGCATGGGACACACTCAGCAGAGACATCTGACCCTCACTGAGCCCAGTTCCTCCTCTCTATAACACAGGGGGATGTTTAGGATTGGGGGGGCGGGCAGTGCAGCTCAGGGGGTACTTGATATGTTCCATCTCAAACCCCTTCCCCCACAGATCAATCGATTGACCAATCGATCAATCACACTGGACTTTGCTAAAAGGGGTTAACTGTCCTGTGAGTTGGATGCTACGGTCACATCTATTTTTCCAGAGTGGAGGGTTCATGGCTGCAGCCTAGGCTGGTCAGAGGCAATCCAACCGGTGCTGACTCAAAGTACCAAGCTGGGGAGATTGGCTTGATTGATTGGTTGATTGACTGCTTGCTTGCTTGTGGAGCTTGAACTCAGGTTCCGAGCGCTGTCCCTGAGCTTTTGTGCCCAAGGCTAGTGATCTACCACTTGAGCCACAGCTCCACTTGCAGCTTTTTGCTGGTGCACTGGAAATAAAGCGTTTCGCAGACATTCCTGCCTGGGCTGGCATGGAACCCCGATTCTCAGATCTCAGCCTCTTGAGTAGCTGGGATTACAGGCGTGAGCCACCGGCCTGGAGGGGTCCTTCTGAACAAGGCCCCCAAGGCGCTATGTGGCCAGGCTGGTCCTCTCTCCCGGGCTCAGGGGATCTTGCTTCAGCCTCCATAGCTGGCACACAGGTGCTCTCCAGCAGCCCCTTCCACGCCGCTTACCACCACCATCGGGACAAGGCCGAGCACTTTCACCAGCCTGGCCACCAGCCCAACTTCAAAGGCACAAAGGGGAGTGACGTGGGGGGGGGGTGGCCATCCCGAAAGCCCTGGTTTACATCCTGGCCGAGCTGCACGCGGAGTGTCACTTTCCTTACACGGGGGAAACTGAGGCTCATGCCCCAGGCCCAGGATTTGCGAACGCTGGAGGCTGGATTCCACTCGCCCCTCCCCCAGGGGGGCTCCCCGAGGGCTGCTGGAGGGGGGCGGGGGTCCCCTGGATGGCCCGGCCTCGGCCCGCACCCAGCCTCACCTTGCCCTTGACGTCCAAGATGAAGACGGCCGAGGCCGACATGGTGGCGGGTGGAGGACCGGGAGGCGGGGACGGAGCGGCTCGGCTTCCTCCTTCCTGCGGAAGCGCCCGCGCCCAGGTGAGCCCAGGTGAGGGCTTCTTAAAGGGGAGGCCGCCAGGTGAGAGGCGCGGTCGGCCGACGCGAAGGTGGAGGCGCCGGCGGGAGGGGCCGCGGCTGGGGCCGGGCAGCTGCGCTGGCCCTGATGTTGTTCCAGGCGAGCTCCTGCGGGCGGGCGTGTGTGCATGTGTGTGTGTGCGTGTGTGCGTGTGTGTGTGCGTGTGTGCGCGCATGTGTGCGCGCGTGTGTGTGTGTGTGTGTGTGTGGTGGGTCGTTGGAGATCAGAGTCTCATGCATTTTCCTCCTGGCTGGCTTCCAACCGCGATCCTCAGATCTCAGCCTGGATTACAGGCCTGAGCCACAGGGCGCTCGGCTACAGGATAATCACCTCGTGCTTTTACTATCCCAGGACAGGCCCAGCGCTGGGGTGCAGCTGAGTGGTGGAACTCATGCGGGAGTACTGGGTTCCATAAGGATCACAAAAGGAGGAGGAGGAAAGTTTTTGTTGCTGTTTTGTCGGTCGTGGGGCTTGAACTCTGGGCCTGGGCGCTGTCCCTCAGCTCTTCAGCTCAAGGCTGAGCTCTACCACTTGAGCCACAGCGCCATTTCCAGTTTTGAGTGGTTTATTGGAGATAAGAGTCTTACAGTCTTTCCTGCTCAGGCTGGCTTTGAACCGAGATCCTCTGATCCTAGCCTCCTGAGTAGCTAGGATGACAGGCGTGAACCACGGGCGGCCAGCACATGCGGGTTCTGATGGTACTGGGGAGTTTGAACTCAGGGTCTGGTGCTTTATGGGCAGGCACGCTGCAACTGGAGCCACGCCCCCTGACGAAGCCACGTCCCTCACGGCAGCCACACACTAGTGCTGGGGCCACGCCCTTTGCAGCCACGCCCCCAGTGCTGGAGCCACGCCCCTAGTGCTGGAGCCACGCCTCCTACCCCTGAAATCGTGCCTCTAGCAGAGCCACGCCCCCTGGCGCTGGAATTTATGCCCATCGCTGAGGCCACGCCCCATTGCTGGGGACCACGCCTCCTACTGCTGGATTTCTTGCCCCCTAGCAACACAGCCACACCCCTACCCTTGTAACTGTGCCCAGCACTGTAGCCACGCCCCTGGAGTTGGAGCCACGCCCCCTACTACTGGAATCACACCGCTAGCACTGGAACTGTGCCTACCACTGTAGCCACGCCCATAGTGCTGAAGCCCCGCCCCCGTGCTGGAGGCCCGCCCCAAGCGGGTGCTGGGTTGGAATCCCAACTCCACCTCGCCACTGGTGGGCAGGCTAGGGCTGGGAGCGCACAGCCGGTGACTGACACTGCGCAGACTTCAGAACACCTGCTACTGCATTCCCCCTCCTACGCTTACACTTGCACGCATGCTCCCTGTGCACCAGCTCCCGGGGAACGGGGCCCTGGCTTCTGTGACTTTCTAAGGTGTTTACTGCAGGGCAGTTGAGGAAAAGATAGGAAACCTCAACCTCCCCCCACGGGCTACATGCTTTACAGGAGGGGGAGGAGGGGAGGGAAGAAGAGGGTGGCCAATGGGACAGGGCCCTCAAGTGCCTCCCAGAGGCCCGTCGTCTGCTCCAGCACAGCTGCACCCCTTTATCAGCCCTGGAGGGGGCCATTTTGGGGTGGGGGGGAGAAATCAGAAAGACCCGCTATCCCTCATTTATAAGAATTCATCAACTGAGCGCCTGTAGCTGGCATGAGCTGTCATCCCAGATACTCAGGAGCTGAGATCTGAGAATCAGGGTTCAAAGCCAGCCTGGGCAGGAACGTCCTGAAGAAGCAATCCTGTGGCTCAAGTGGTAGAGCACTGGCCTTTAGCAAAAAGAAACTCAGGAAGGCACCCAGGCCCTGAGTTCAAGACCTTCAACCGACAAACAAACATCATCATGAGGCACAGATCCTTTTTTCTTCTTCTTCTTCCTCCTCCTCCTTCCTCCTCCTCCTCCTTCTTCTTCTTCTTCTTCTTCTTCACCTGTCCTGGGGCTTGAACTCCAAGGTCTGGGCACTGTCCCTGAGGTTCTTTTGCTCAAGGCAAGCAGTCTACCACTTGAGCACAGCACCACGTCTGGTTTTTCCTGTGTCTGTGGTGCCGAGGAATGGAACCCAGGGCTTCATGCATGCTAGGCAAGCACTCTACCACTGAGCCACCTCCCCCCCGCCAAGTTCTTACCATATCATTTAACTAAGAGGAAGCAGAACCCAGAGAGGTCAAGCCACTTGCTCAAGACCACACAGACAGGAGGCTGAAGAGGCTGAATTTGAATCTGTGCTCTGGAATTTAAAAGCCCAATCTAAATACATGGTGCTTGGTTTTGTGTTTTTTGTTTGGTGTATGTGTGTGTGTGTGTGTGTGTGTACATGTGCACGCTGGTACTAGGGCTTGAACTCACAACCTGGGTGTTGATCCTTAGCTTTTTTTTTTTTTTTTTTGGATCCAGTCGTGGGGCTTGAACTCTGGGCCTGGGCGCTGTCCCTCAGCTCTTCAGCTCAAGACTAGCGCTCTACCACTTGAGCCACAGTGCCACTTCCAGCTTTTTTCTTTTTGCTTAAGTGGTGCTGAGGAATTGAACTCAAGGCCTCATGCATGCAAGGCAAGCGCTCTACCACTGAGCCACCTTCCCAGCCCTGATCCTTAGCTTTTTTGTACAAGTCTGATGCTCTACCACTTGAGCCATACGTCCATTTCCAGCTTTTTTGTGTGTGGTGTATTTAGAAATTAAAGCCTCGCCGGGCGCTGGTGGCTCACGCCTGTAATCCTAGCTACTCAGGAGGCTGAGATCTGAGGATCGCGGTTCAAAGCCAGCCTGGGAAGGAGAGACTGTGAGACTCCTATCTCCAATAAACCACCAGAAAACCGGAAGTGGCGCTGTAGCTCAAGTGGTAGAGCGCTGGCCTTGAGCTGAAGAGCTGAGGGACAGCGCCCAGGCCCAGAGTTCAAGCCCCACGACCAACAAAAAAAAAAGAAAAGAAAAGAAATTAAAGCCTCTTGGGACTTTTCTGTGCAGGCTGGCTGAACTTTAATCCTCAGATTTAGGCCTCCTAAATTGCTAGGATTACAGGATTGAGTCACCAGCATCTGCTTTTGGACGTGAATGTTCAACCTTCCTATTTCTGCATCCCAAGTAGCTGAGATTACAGGCATGCACCACCACACTTGGTTTAACCTCAGGTTGAGAGGGCGTGCATTCTACACAGAACTATACAGTACTCTGAAGGGCTCCCAGCCCCAGAATTTTTTTTTTGTTGGTCATGGGGCTTGAACTTTGGGCCTGGGCGCTGTCCCTCAGCTCTTCAGCTCAAGGCCAGCGCTCTACCACTTGAGCTACAGCGCCACTTCCGGTTTTCTGGTGGTTTATTGGAGATAGGAGTCTCACGGTCTCTCCTGCCTGGGCTGGCTTTGAACCGCGATCCTCAGATCTCAGCCTCCTGAGTAGCTAGGATTACAGGCGTGAGCCACCAGCGCCCGGCTCCCCAGAATATTTTAAATGAGAAAAGGCTGACACTGCCTAGAGAGGGTCAGTGAATTTCATAAAATCACTCAGCCAGAGGGGCTGGGAAGGTGGCTCAGTGGCAGAGTGCTTGTCTAGCATGCATGAAGCCTCAGTAACACATACACAGGAAAAGCCAGAAATGCTGCTGTGGCTCAAGTGGTAGAGTGCCAGCCTTGAGAGAAGAAGAAGAAGAAGAAGAAGAAGAAGGAGAAGGAGAAGGAGGGGGAGAAAGAGGAGGAAGCAGCGGCAGCAGCAACTCAGGGACAGTGTTGAGGCCTGAGTTCAGTCCTCAGAATTGGCAAAAATCAATCAATCAATCAAAATAAAACAATAAAACCACTCAGCCAGAAGAGGCCGAGGTAGAGAATTCCGCGCCAGGATTTATCCTTCATCTGCCCACTAGAGGGCGGGCGCCACATTGCTACCCATCTTCCTGCTGCAGCGCTGGTTGTAAGGCTCAGCTCTCAGCCTAGGCGGGACTGAGCCGTGCAACAATCCCTCTCCTGAGGCCTTCACACGGTTTGAGGCAGTAAACAGAACCCCCAAAACCCTGGGCCCAGCGCCCTGGAATCTGAAACTCTAGGCTTGTTTGAAAAATTCATGAGCCCCAAAGTTTCACTTGAGGTCAAGAGAACAGAGGAAACTCTGTGTCTGGATTCTCTCCCAGGCCGCCCCGCCCCGCTCCGGGCTAGCACCGACCCCGCTCCGCCCAGACCGACAATTCTTGTTCCAGTTCAGCCGCAGAGGCCCCTTCCTCCCTCCAGAGACCAGGCTCCCAACCCCCACAGGCCGTTCCCGCCTTGCTCAAGGACGATCTCCCCCACTCTCACACCTGCCCTGGCTCCCCCACTCTCACACCTGCCCTGGCTCCCCAGAGACCTGGAGCTCTCCCATCGGAACGTGTAGATCCTTCCAGACTGCGACCACACGGTGCCACTTGAACCCTGTGCCCCAAACTGCATGACTCTCCTGCTGCCCATTCCTCCATCTGTCTGTCTGTCTGTCTCTCTCTCTCTCATTCCTGGCATGTGACACCTCGTTTCTAATTTCTCCTCTTCAGACTCAGTTTCTCTTAGCCTCTTGGGACTCTGGCCTTGGGCACTGTCCCTGAGCTGATTTCGTGATGCGTGAACTCTGGGCCTGGGCGCTAGCCGTCAGCTCTTCAGTTCAAGGCTAGTGCCCTACTACTTGAGCCACAGCACCCTTTCCAGCTTTTTCGGCATCTGTGGCACTGAGGAATCGAACCCAGGACCTCATGCATGCAAGGCAGGCACTGTACCGCTGAGCCACCTTCCCAGCCCTCTTTGCTTGTCTTCTTGGGACTAGGACCCAGGGCCTCAGACAAGTGCCTACTGGCTTGAGTCACACTCCTCGCCTTTCCCGTGGTCCTCCCGTGAACTGCGCGTGGCTGGCATGTCCTGGTTCGAATTGTGAAATAAGAGCAAGAAAGGGCAAAAGTCAAGTTCAC